AGCGGAGCATACAGCAGACGAGGCCGGAAGGCAGGGGTACCTGAGACCCCGGAGACTCCACGGGAGGAGGCTGCGGAGGATAACTGGAAGCTGAGACGCTGGAGCAGCCGGAGACCAGCGGGAAGGGTAGGGTGGATAAATCACCTTTCCCTCCCCTGCATTTGGACTGCTGGTGGGCTCCCCAGCGGGTTGAGAGACCTGCGGACGCCAGCACCAGACTCCCAAATCCCTCGGGCACCTCCATATCATAGACCCAAGCCGCGAAGGCAGGCGCCATATGCCTCCTTCTCCCCTCTGGCAACCCTACCTGCGGCCGCCCAGAGGAACAATACAGCCACTAGCCGGAGGCACCTCCAGGGAACGGGACCTTCCCTTTTGGACCCTACAGCTGACTAAGGGAACTCAGACTATGAGCTCCTACCCGCCAGCCCTCCAGGTGCTGCTGGCACGGTGTTCCAGGAGAACGGTGCCGACTCAGAGGCTGAGAGACACAGACACAGCCTGGGCTCCCTGTGGTGAATTGGGACCGGACTCCTCTCCCTGGTGGGGATACAGTTTGAACTCTGGGACCCAGAGGTCGCGACCTGCAGGACCAGATCCCCTGCCACGACATACTTTGTCATTAGACTCGCGGGCACAGAAGGAGTATTTGAACAGACCTGCGGAGAGTGTGATGCTGCCATCCAGGCCAATCAGGTCTCCTACACCGAAGGATAACCCCTCCCATCCAACAAAGATTCAGGAGGCGTCGCCCAAGCTCCAGGCAGCATTTCTGCACAGGAACCTCCCCGCCGGCATCACAAATCGGGAGGCCTGGTGGCTCGTGTGTCTGGCTGCTGGCAGAAGCCAGGAGTAGCTGCGGAGTGGGGAGGGTGGAAAGAAGCGAGCCCGCTCCAGACTGCGGGTCTCAGACAGCCCCCACACCCACACCCAGACTTTCTGGCTGAGGGACATTCCAGCCCGCCCTGACAGCTTTTCCTGGAATATGTTCTTGCTTCTTTTTTCTAATTTCTGCTAGAATCTGTCTTTTCTGCAGAGACACTCTTTCTGGCGGTGTTTCTTGTCCGCCATCTTGATCCTCCTCTCTTCTCAGTTATTTTTAACATAAGACAAAGAACACGGGTTTCAGAAAGACTTTGTAAAAAGAGACTCAATTGCTGTTTCTTTTATCAATTATATGTATTTTATAAAATGCAGTGTTGATTCCAGCTAAAATGTATAGAGAAATCTACACTCTGTAAAACTTTCAGAAAATTGGATTAGAAATGTGCTGATACTTTGCATCTTTTGCTATTAAAATATAAGCAAATATACATATTTTTCTTTGTTTAGATCCAACCAATTGACCCATCTCTGGTGGCATATTTAAAAACACAGCAAGATACTTCCTACTCAGTACTATCCACCAGTCCTCTGATTCATGTTCAGCACCTATCAACTCATCCTTTTCAGAAGCCAGTCACTGTATTCCTACCTTGTTCTCCACATCCTGATAAAAAGAATCTTGGGCCTGAGATAGAGCATAAAAGAACAGCTAGTGCCACGGCAAACAGGGTCACACCGCCATATTTCAACTGGTGAGTAAGATCCTAATTGCAAACTGACTTAATGTTACACAAATAAACTTACATGATTAAAAATCACAATCAAATGTCATGTATTTAAATATCAGTATTAAAATACTATGAAATATTTTTAATCTAGAAATATTGTGTATCCATTAAAGGTAAGATTCTAGCTGTAATGGGGCCCAAAGTGTACTAGGTGTTAGCAATAAGTTGATATGAAAGAGGTAAAATTAACTCTTCCTGTCAAAGAACTTAAAATATGGTTACATACAAAGGTGTAGTATGGTGGTTTTAATTTCTATATTTAAAAGTGTTCTATTAATGCTGGAAAAAGAGTAACTTTACCTTTTACAAAATAAACTGAATTTGAATTTAATAGGTGGATTCCTCTTCCCAACTTTTATAATTAAACAAAATCCCCACCAATAAGACAGATATCCATACTAAGTTACCAGCTAGAAATGAAATCAGAAATGATATGCTAACAACAAATAGGGTACAATGAATGATAATAGTCCTGACCTTAATTCTTATCCTTTAATATTTATCTTTTTTTTCCTAATAGAAAAAGTAGAAGAGAGCTTTCTATTCTTTAGTTCTGAAGGGTAAACCTTAAGGATTTTTCCTATTAGTTCTTATTAGATAACTCTGGAGTTTTTGGTTGCATGATCCTTCATCACAACACATTAATATTTTATACACTTGGAATGACTATTACCAGGCCCTTCCCCTACTTGGGAAATGGTGGCAATATAGCGCCTATTTATAAATAGCTTTGAAATAGCTCAGAGCAATGAGAAATGACCATTGAAAATAACTAGCACATATTGACAGTTTCACACGTGCCAGCCAGTATCCTAAATGCCTTATCTCTAGTAACTTAATTATTCCACACAATAAACCTATATATAGCTACATATCCCCACAAGCAGGAATGTACCTTCACATTCATGAAGGTAAGTCCAAGTTTTTAAAATATATTATCTCACCAGTTATGACAATATTCCTGTGAGACTATTAAATACCTCATTTTTTTTGGAGACATAGTCTCACTCTGTTGCCGGGGCTAGAGTGCGTGGCGTCAGCCTAGCTCACAGCAACCTCAAACTCCTGGGCTCAAGTGATGTTCCTGCCTCAGCCTCCCCAGTAGCTGGGACTACGGGCATGTGCCACCATGCCCGGCTAATTTTTTCTATATATTTTTAGTTGTCTCGCTAATTTCTTTCTATTTTTAGTAGAGACAGGTCTCGCTCTTGCTCAGGCTGCACTCGAACTCCTGAGCTCAAATGATCCTCCCACCTGGGCCTCCCAGAGTTCTAGGATTACAGGCGTGAGCCACCACACTGGCATAAATGCCTCGTTTTGTATATATTTTAATTAATACCTAAATTATACCACTTATGACACTGGACTATGTTTTTTCATTTTAGCGTCTTTCATTGTTACGGCCTTGAGTTCCTTGTGGGCAAAGTTTGTGTTTTATTTCTCTGGATTTTCTTGTTGTAAATAACTTTATTACATGCAGTGAAAAATCAGAAGAGAGAGAAACAACGTCAGGCACATAAGTGAAATGACAACTGCTGTGATTTGAAGGGCTGCTGTGTGCCAGGTGCATTAGGTGCACTCCCTCACCCGGTAGCCCAGGAGCATGCCGCGCCGTGGCTGGGAGGAGAAGTCAAGCTTTCCTGGAGTTACGCAAGTGAGAGAGAACGTAGAAATAGAGACGTGACCCGGTTATATGTGCTTTTGCTACCAAAAGTAAATATATATGATATATGGTTACACATGGTTTAGCGATGGGGATGCATTCTGAGAAATGTGTCCTGCGGCGACCCGTCGTCGTGAGCAGGGGGAGTGCGCGTGCGCAGACCGCGGCGCAGCCTGGCGCTCGCGGGCAAACCTGCTCCGCTCGTGCCGTCCTGAACCACAGGCAACTGGAGCACAGCGGAATTTGTGTATCTAAATATATCTAAACAAAGAAAAAGTACAATAAAAACACTGTTATAATCTCATGGGACCGCTGGCGTAGATGTGGCCGGTCGTTGACTGAAACGGTGTTAGGCGGGACGGGCCTGTGGCAGCGGAGCTAATCCACGTGCCTGTGAATGATAGTGATAAAAACCGCCGACCGGAAATACCCTGGAGTGTCCAAGATAAAATGTAGCGGTCTAATAGATTAAGATTTATTCTAGCCCAAGCACCCCTTAAAATACATATACTTAATTTTTTAAAAAAAAGATGAATTCTGTGTGGTAAACTATTGCTAGAGTCTAGTAAGTATTTCTACTATCGAGAGGGTGGATGGCAGCGAATTAATAAAAATAGTCTGTGCTGATGATAGGGAAAAACTTCACCCCGGCCCCCCAAGGCTGAACTCACTACTGATTGGATGTAAACCTTGTTGCTGATTGGACGCTTTTTGAATCCCACCAAGGGTATAAAAACTAGAGGAGAACAAGGGAGCGGTGCTCAGAGCCCCTCTGAGCCCCTCTGAGCGCCCCTGAGCCCCTCTGAGCCCCTCTGAGCGCCTCTGAGCCCTTCTGAGCCCCTTTGGGTCCATCTGGGCCCCTCTGAGCCCCTCTGAGCCCCTCTGAGCCCCTCTGAGCCCCCTGAGCCCCTCTGAGCCCCCTGAGCCCCTCTGAGCCCCTCTGAGCGCCTCTGAGCGCCTCTTAGCCCCTCTGAGCCCCCTGAGCCCCCTGAGCCCCTCTGAGCCCCCTGAGCCCCTCTGAGCCCCTCTGAGCGCCTCTGAGCGCCTCTGAGCCCCTCTGGGTCCATCTGGGCCCCTCTGAGCCCCTCTGGGTCCATCTGGGCCCCTCTGAGCTCCTCTGAGCCCCTCTGGGTCCATATGGGCCCCTCTGAGCACCTCTGAGCCCTTCTGAACCCCTCTGGGTCCATCTGGGCCCCTCTGAGCCCCTCTGGGCCCCTCTGAGCACCTCTGAGCCCCTCTGAGCGCCTCTGGGCCCCTCAGAGCCCCTCTGAGCCCCTCTGAGCCCTTCTGAGCCCCTCTGAGTGCCTCTGAGCGCCTCTGGGCCCCTCTGAACCCCTCTTCGCTTCTCTGGGCCCCTCTGAGCATCTCTGGGTCCCTCTGGGCCCCTCTGAGCCCCTCTGAGCCTCTGAACCCCTCTGAGCGCCTCTGAGCCTCTGAACCCCTCTTCGCTTCTCTGGGCCCCTCTGAGCCCCTCTGAGCGCCTCTGAGCCTCTGAACCCCTCTGAGCCCCTCAGAACCGCTGGTGGAATAAAGGCTGATCCTCCCACTCGCCCTGCGCCGCTGGGTTCTTTCCCTGGTCAGTCGCCCTCACACTTGCCTAGACTTGCCACCCACCTGCCGGAACACTGACAATGTAAAACAAAGCAGCTACATTGGCCTAAGAGATGGTTAACAACACAAACACGCAAACAAACCCCAATTTGCCTGTCCCCTATTGTTTGATCTCATAGCCTATACATATCAATGAAAATGTAAATTTATCTCTCCAATGCACAGATATCATTTTAGAGTGATTAGATCACTGTCCCTTTGCCTCTCCTTTGCTATATTTCTACATCTCAAAAACAACGGGGTGGACTGTAGAGAGGGATTACGAGCAGTGTGATGGACTGTCGGGATGGAATCCCGCAGGCGTGGGACCCTACAGCAGCGCGCTGCCAGCGAGCCCCGCATTCGGTGGGTTCCGGGCCCTGCAAACCCAGTCGGCACAGGCGAGGGGAGCGCCCGCCCAGTCCCCAGTCCCCCGTCCCCCGTCCCCAGTCCCCCGTCCCCCGTCCCCCGTCCCCAGTCCCCCGTCCCCAGTCCCCAGGAATCACACTCGGTGAGAACGGCCAGCCTCTGAGCCCTGAATCAGATACAGGCACGTGGGTCTGCCCTCAGATCTGAGAAAGAGATGCCAACAGCTGCCAACCTGAAAGTGGTGAATAAGCCTCCATTAAAGGGTAAGAAAAAAAACCGGAACCCTATATGGTATTTTAAGAAAAAAGAAATTGCTACCAAGATTACAAAAGAAGAACAAAAACAACAAAAAACAAATGTGTAGAAATACAGAAAGAGAGTATCGTCCTGACATTTCACAGTAATTTGAATAATGAGAATTACGGTTACCTGGAGAATACTATGGAAACCTATTTTGTAAGTTTAGTAGTATCCAGTAAGCATAATTTCAAGAAAGCAGAAACCATCTTTCCTAGGTTAGCCTAGGAAATGATGAAAGGACAGCAGGATAAGATATACAGATAACAAGCTGAGATGAAAAGGGATCAAGATATGATAAGGAATCATTTCAAAGCGATGTAACCTAATAATTATAGGTACCATCCACGAAAAGACCAGGTAATCCTAAAAGATGCAATAATCAAAGGCATAATTGAATTTAATTTTTGATGTTGATTAAAGCCTTGAGGTAGAAAGTGCTGATTGACTACTAGACAAAATATATGAAAAAGACCCATACTAAGACAGAACATGGCAAACTGAAATGTAGGTTTAAATAAAACACAATTCCACAAGCATTTATTCCACAGAAATAGGTTGAGTAAAAAGGAATAAAGTCAGTCTGGCCTCAGTCTTATTCTTTGTAGCACTAATATCGGGGGAAAAAATGGACCCAAAACTTCAAAGTTCTGAAAGGACAAGGTTGTAGAATTAGAGTTTTCACCCCAAAAAGATGCCATTTTGTTTTTGTTATTGTTTTTGTTTTTTTAAATACAAGGGCTCACAAAATGTACAATATCATGTTCTTAATAAAACAAATAAGTATGTATATAAAATTAATAGACTGACTTAATAAAATAAAATTCAAAATATAAAAATGGAAAGCATTATTATTTTTTAAATCTAGTATTGAGCATAAATAATATAAAAGAAAAAAATGACAAAAGTAAAAGTTCACATGGCAGAGATATAACAGAAAGAAAACAAATTAAAGAAAAAACTCCGCATGGTGACATGTGTCTATTTTTAAGAGAAAGCTAAAGCAAGATAATATAAATAAAATTATCAATTATGACAATAATAT